AAAAAAAAAAAAAAGAAAGAAAGAAAGCCGGCTTCCCGGTCGCAACAATGAAGTCCGGAGGACAGTTGAATAACAGCTTCAAAGTATTTTGAAGAAATAACTGTTAACGTAGAATTGTGTGCCCCACAAAATAATTGTAAGAGATACACCTAAAATATAAGGATCCAGAAAAGATGAAATTTAAAGAAAAGGAAAAAACATACATTAAGCCAATACTGACCAAAAGAGAACCTGGGGTGAGTATATTAGTATCAGGCTAAATTAATTTTTATTTATTTATTTGTTTATTTTATTGTTTTTATTTTTATTTTTATTTATATATTTACTTGCTTTTTTAATGTTTATTTATTTTTGAGAGAGAGAGACAGAGTGTGAGCGGAGAAGGGGCAGAGAGAGAGGGAGATACAGAATCCGAAGCAGGCTCCAGGCTCTGAGCTGTCAGCACAGAGCCTGATATGGGGCTCAAACCCATGAACCTGGAGATCGTGACCTGAGCCGAAGTTAACTGACTGAGCCGCCCAAGCATCCTTATTTGTTTATTTGAGAGAGAGAGAGAGAGAGCAAGAGAGAGCATGAGCAGGGGAGAGGGGCAGAGGGGGAGAGAAAGAGAGAGAGAGAGGGAGAGAGAGAGAGAATCTCAAGCAGGCTCCAGGCTCAGTGCAGAGCCTGAGGCAGGGTTTGATCCCACAACCTTGGGATCATACCTGAGCTGAAATCAAGAGTCAAATGCTCAACCCAGTGAGCCACCCAGGCACCCCTAGATGAAAAACACACCATTAGCAATAGAGAGGATCACAGCCTATTAATTTAAGGTTCAACTCACTTAGAACATATTCTAAAGTTATATGCACCTAACAACATAGCCCCAATATACATATAAGGCAAAATTTGATAGAAATACAGGGAGAAGCTGACAAACCCATCATCATAGTTAAAAACTTCAAGTCTTTCTCAGTTAACAATGGATTAAGCAGACAAAAAATTAGTAACATGATTAACAAGCTTGATTTCGTAGACATACCTAGAATTCTTTGCTCCACAAATAGTGAATATACATTTTCCCAAACAAAGCACACATGGAACACCAAAAAAACATTAATCACATCATTGGCCACCAAAATAAGGGCAACAAATGTTAAAGGATAGGTCACATACAGGGTAGGTAGCATATTCTTTGATCAGAACGTAACTAGGTTAGGAGTCACTAACATAAAGTCCATTGTTAAGAGTCCCACACATTTGAGGGGTGCCTGGGTGGCTCAGTCAGTTAAGCTTCCTACTTCGCCTCAGGTCATGATCTCACAGTTCGTGGGATCGAGCCCCACGTCGGGCTCTGTACTGGCAGCTCAGAGCCTGGAGCCTGCTTCAGATTCTGTGTCTCCCTCTCTCTCTGCCCCGCCCCTGCTCATACTCTGTCTCTCTCGCTCTCAAAAATAAATAAAATATTTAAAAACTTACCAAAAAAGTCCCATTCATATGAAAATTTAAAAACCAGACTTCTAGATAACTTACAAGTCAAAGGACAATTAACAGAAATTCAATAATAATACTTACAGCAACAGTTAACACACCATATTTCAAAACTTTGGGGGGAACTGAAGGTGTTGCTTTGTGCCTTACAGGCCTATATCTCCAAAAAGAAGAGAAAATCTAATAAGTAAGTATTTAGAAAAAAAATAGACAAATAAAGTAGAATGTAATTTCCCAAAATAAAGAAAATAAAGATGGTGGAAATCTGAAATATAAAACAAGTAAATCAACAAAGCCAAAATAGACTAAAACAACCGATAAACCTCTGGCAAGATTGATCAAGGAGAAAAAAAATTTTGAAAACTAAGAAAGAAACATCACGACAGGAAAAACAAATTATTTTGTAGATAGTTAATAAAAGGTAACAAAAACTTCACGGCATGATTATCTGAAGCCTCCCCCAAACATTTTAAAATTTAAATTCAAAAGAAATACAAAGAATGTAATAAGATAGTGAGGCAGAGAGGCAAAATTCAGTTGCATTTCTGGATACCAGCAATAAATAGTTAGAAAAAAATAATTTTAAAAAATAATTTTAAATGATTTTATGGAGAAAAACAAGCCTATTGAAAGCTTTAGAGAAGACCCAAATTAATAGAAAGAAGTACCACAAACATGGGTAGGAAGGCCTAATATCATTGCGATTTGAATTTGCTCCAAATGAATTTATATATTCAATGGAATTGCAGGGCTTTTCATAGAACTTGACAAGTTGATTCCAAGATTTATGCAGAAAACCAAGGGGTTAAGGTAATCAAAGTATTCCTCACAGACAAGAAGCAAAATGTGAGGAACTTTCTCTACCAGATATGAATTTACCAGAAAGCCAAGTATGGCACTATAACGGCTCAGGCAGGGACAAATGACAGTTGTAACTTAAGAGAGATTCTACTTGACCTGTGACACAGTGGTCTTGCAGACAAGTGGGCAAGGTAAGATTTTGTAAGATTATGTAAGGTTGTGCAAATGGTGCTGGGACAATTGAATGCCCATATGGAAAATAGTTAAATGGGATGAATAATTCAGTCGATCCCATCCTCACACCATATACAAAAACAAGCTGCAGGGGGATTTAAGACTTACATACGAAAGGCAAAAATTTGAATTTTTTTAAAAATAGATTTTGTTGGGGCGCCTGGGTGGCGCAGTCGGTTAAGCGTCCGACTTCAGCCAGGTCACGATCTCGCGGTCCGTGAGTTCGAGCCCCGCGTCGGGCTCTGGGCTGATGGCTCAGAGCCTGGAGCCTGTTTCCGATTCTGTGTCTCCCTCTCTCTCTGCCCCTCCCCCGTTCATGCTCTGTCTCTCTCTGTCCCAAAAATAAATAAACGTTGAAAAAAAAAATTTAAAAAAAAAATAGATTTTGTTATTTAGAGAAGTTTTAGGTTCACAGCAAAATTGAGAGGAAGGTACAGAGATTTCCCATATAGCTCCTGCTCCCTACCCCTACATACAGTCTCCCCCATTATCAACATCATCCACTGGAGTGGTACATTCATTGAAATTGATAGACCTCCGATGATATATCATAATCACCCAAAGTCTACAGTTTACATTACATTTCACTCTTGGTGTTGTACATTCCATGGTCTTAAACAAACATATGCACAATGACATGTATCCACCATGATGGTATCATACAGAGTAGTGTCGTTGCCCTAAAAATCCTCTGTGCTCTGACCATTCCTCCTTCCTCCCAACCCCTGGCAACCACTGAGTTTTTACTGCTGCCATAGTTTTCTCTTTTCCAGAACGTTACATAGTCGGGATCGTATAGTAGGCTTCTTTTATTTTTTATTTCTTTATTTTTTTTAAACGTTTTTTATTTATTTTTGGGACAGAGAGAGACAGAGCATGAACGGGGGAGGGGCAGAGAGAGAGGGAGACACAGAATCGGAAACAGGCTCCAGGCTCTGAGCCATCAGCCCAGAGCCCGACGCGGGGCTCAAACTCACAGACCGCGAGATCGTGACCTGGCTGAAGTCGGACGCTTAACCGACTGCGCCACCCAGGCGCCCCAGTAGGCTTCTTTTAGATTGGCTTCTTTCTTAGTAATATGAATTTAAGTTTCCTCCATGTCTTTTCATGATTTGAGAG